GAGATTCCTGGTTGCACAAAAATGGGGAGAAGGACATTTCTTGTGAGTGTTTACTATTCAATATCTGTGTATATTTTTACTTCTTTTCCTCACTGACTCGGGCCCTTTAGCACTGGAAACTTTGCCCCTTGCTTTAGAAGATCATAACTTCAATTCCAGAAATAAAACAGTAGAAGGATGCCAAAATCACATACGATTTTGTTACTAAATGGGCTAAAATAAACAAATCACTTAACTTTCCTAGTCTTCAGAACTTTTATATAAAATGAAAATGCTAGGCTAAATAATGTCTAAGGCACCATGATTTTTAAAGTTTTACATCTTATAAAGAAGCCATTACAGAGTTACTATCAAAAAAAAAAAAATGTAGCCATCCTTTTCTTTTCCTCCAACCTAAGGCAGATTTCATTGACTACATCTGTCATTTTTCATGTTAACAGTGTGTATTGTTGATATCATAACTCCGTAATGAAAACTCTGCTCTGATGCAGTGGGTGCCTTCCTTTAAAATGCATTTATGTTGTGCATTTGTAGCTTTGAACTGATGAGGTTGAGACCCTAGCATGTCTTCATCAGCTGTGAGCTGCACTTCAGGTTCATTGCTGCTAATAATAGCTAAAGCACTAAAGCTTGCTAATCGAGACTTAGAGCAGATTCAAGGGTATCACCAGGAGAAAGCTGGTCTCATTCTTATGTACTCCTATATGATTTTTGAATGAAAAACGTTACAGGCTCCCCCCCAAAAAATCCCCAAAGGACTAAAAGGTATTACTGGGGAATATTTAAAATGTCAATGTCTGGCTGCCATACCCAGATATTCTGAGTTAACTGGTCAGGTGTGCATCCTGGAAAGAAGGGATTTTAAAGCACCTCAAATTATGCTAATGTGAAAACACTGTTCTAATAAAAACATTGGTTCCCAGACTGTGAGCAGTGACCAGGCTGCCAAACAAAAGAGTGAAAAGATATTTTGGTGAGGTCAAATTCATAATTTTCTTAGTGTCTCCTATTTCATTCAGATTCTAACATACTTGATTATATCCTGTAGACTTTATTTCCACATTGGACAATGGAGAAGTTTTGGGAGAATTCTATAATAGCATTTTGCCACAGATCCTTGGTGATTATTTTCTGATATGAGCTAAAGAGTTTCATATTAAATAATAAATGCTGGAGAGGGTGTGGATAAAAGGGACCCCTCCTACTGTTGGTGGGAAAGTAAATCAGTGCACTATGGCAAACGGTGTGGAGGTTCCTTAAGAAAAACCTAAAGATATATCCAGAGAAAACTAATTCAAAAAACAAATGTTTATAACAGCACTATTTACAATAGCCAAGACACGGAAGCAATCTAAAATGCCCATCAACAGATTAATGGATAAATAAGATGTTGTGTGTGTATGTGTGTGTGTGTATACATACACACACACATACACACTGGAATATCTTACTCAGCTATAGAAAAGAATGAAATACTATTTGCAGCAACATGTATGCACCTAGAGATTATCATATTGTACTAAGTGATGTCAGACAAAGACAAATATCATATCACTTATGTGTCAAATCTAAAGTATACAAATAGACTTATTTACAAAACAGAAACAGATTCACAGATATAAACAGCAAACTTATGGTTACCAAAGAGGAGAGGATGGGGGGAGGAGTAAATAAGGAGTTTGGGATTAGCAAATACAAACTCACTGTCGTGTCCCACTCTTCATCACCCCATCAAGCTCCTCTGTGCATGGAATTCTCCAGGCAATAACACTGGAGTGGGTAGCCATTACCTTCTCCAGGTGGTCTTTCCAACCCAGGGATTGAACCTGGACCTCCAGCATTGCAGACAGATTATTTTACTGACTGAGCCGCCAGGGAAGCCCAGCATGCAGGTTTCTACTCTATAGCACAGGGAACTATATTCAATATATTATAATAAACAGTAATGGAAAAGAATGTAAAAAAGTTTATATACATGTATAACTGAATAATTTTGCTTTATACTAGAAACTAACAGAACACTGTAAATCAACTACACTTTAATTTAAAAATTAATAATGAAAATAAATGAGTTTCACGTTAGAGGAATTTCATCCCAGATCTATCCTTAAGCATAGTTTTTATGTTGGCATTTACTTATTTTGAATACATACATGATATGCATATATGTATATCATATATTCTTATAAGGTAATTTGGCTAGCTAAAAAAATGTGTTAATTTAAAAAATTGACAATTCAGCTGCATAATTTTCTATTTTGTAGACTACAGATGTTCCTCACCCCTCAAAGAAAAGATACAGTTACATTTAAAACCTTCACTTATGAACTACATCCATGAGACCCTTCCCTGCTCAGAAATCCTGAATATTTTGAAATGAGTTATAAAGAAGTGACTCCAGAATTAATCTAGCTTCCCACGTTTATTTTTACACAAAAAGAAATTTAGGTGCTTGATAACAAGAAGTGTGTCTCTCTTAGTAGATGGCAGGCAGAAGTAGAACTCCTATTCAGTATAGCAGCCTAGGTTTTCTTCTCCTGAACCATCAGATTCCCATAAGCTCTCCCCCGCTTTCTGTGGAACATCCATATTGACATTTTTACTTGTCCTAGTGCTTTGGTGCAATATTGCCAGATCATAAACAATGATTCTTGAATGCCATGGTATCTTTGCCTGTGATATATACATATGCTGAACTAGAATGTAATGGATCAGTACAGATTTGCTTGGATTTCTCTGTCATTAGCTGCCAAAGTAGTACATCCAGACCACGTGCCAGTGCATGCCAGAAGTAAATATTGGTTGATTATGATGGTCTTCTACTGCTGTTATACTAATGCTTTTCCCATCTCCAACTGGCTTTACTTTTTGCAGCTTTGAGCAGTAATTCAGTCCCCTACGCCTCCCTGATTGGCTCTGTGTCCTCCCTCTCTAGCCAAACCACCACTCAGTCCATATATGATAATAACTCTCTCCCACGATTCGCTCGAAAAGGTCTAAACATCTTTGTCTCTATTATTTTCTCTGTTAAAGCACTGTAGTGGATGTCCACATCATTTCATCTCCAAACAAGCCTACCGTCCGTCTCTTGTGCCTTTGCATTTCCATTCTTGTCACTGGGGGTGCCTCATCTGGATAGGATCACTGTAATTATTCGGTCACTGTCACTCAGCTGTTCCTCCCACAGAATGTCGAGGAGTTCAATGCTACCATCTATAGGGAAATGTTCTAGAAATGGGTTCCAACATTTAGGTCCAAACACATAATCGCATCAGCAACAAAGAGTTTCTTCTTCCAAGCTGACTCGTTTTTATTGGATCTTCCATTAAGCTTTTAGCTGGCTGAAAGCAGACTTTGATAGCCATGGATACTAAAGTACTGCCTATCACAGCACAGTGCTAAAATGATTGTCTGGGAGAAGCAAGATAGTTTTTTACTCAACTTAACCAAACCATTGATAATTTGGCATTAGAGACAAAGGAACCCATTGGCTTTCAATATCAGTACAATATTTGAAATACCCATAAAGTAATTACAAAGCAGTTACATGTTGTGCTGACTTAATGGTCACCATACCTCAGCCTGACACCTTCAGGGAGTCCCAGGGACAGCAGAATGTCCACATGGACAGGGCTTCCAGCTTGAGTCCCTCCCTTACTTTTTTTTTTTCACTTTAGAGGCCGCCCTGGGGGCATGCTGGTTCAAGTTTTTCTAGTCAGCTGGAATTTGCACCTATAAGACATGAGTCAGCAATGGTCTCTTATGGTGCTCTTGAAAATTAATCAGAAGTAAAATATAAATCATATGAAAAATGAAAAATCATTATAAAGACACTGGAATCACCATAGTTAGTGGTGGTTTATTTTTAACAGAGTCGATGAATACCTTCAGCTGGCAGACTGAACTAAGATGTATCACCCCCATGTCACTGCTTCCTTTTACCACCTTCTTTTTCCTCTTCATCCTTTCACCATTTGCTCCCTTTCCTGCATTCAGTTCCCATTAGTGGACAAAGATGTTTACACCTGAAGTAGATTGTAGGTTTGCTAGGGGTTGAATAATGGGGACTTGGGGCAAAATACCACCAAGCTGTCAGTGTGGCCATTGATAAATGTCCAGGAGAAGGCTGCAACCCCAACCTCTACAATCTGCTACTAGTGGAAACATTTTTGAAACTCAGTTTTGCGTCTGATTTTGTCATCAGTGATTATTGTCTATAGTCTGTGGTGCATGTCATTCTTTGTGTCCATGTTTGCATGTGAATGTCAGTCACCTACAGGTTTGTGAAATATTAAAGAGATCTTAATCTAGTCACAATGTATATGAATCCTGTTAAAACCTGCAGCATTTTTATTAGTGCTTTTTAAAAGTATATCAGGCTATCCATTTCTTTTTTTTTTTTTTAACAAATTTGTTCTGTTTTATTTTATTTACACCATCATTTCCTTTGCAGGTTCAGATGATTCCGGTTACCCTGGTAACCTTCATTCTTCAAGTTAGTTTTCCTTGATTCTGCATAAGTCACTTTATGTTTCCTATCCAGCTACAACTCTTTCCCTTTTTAGGCCTTTCTCAGTGTCTATTTTCTTAGTTCACTTTACACCATTTAATTCCACACAATTTCCATTTCACACAGTGCAGGAGAAGGAGTTTGAAATGACATAACAGTCATTACTCAAAGCAGAAGTTGACATCAAGCCTGACTGTCAGTTTTCTCGCTAGCTAACTGCATTGATTCATAGCACAATAACACTTTCTTTCACATTAGGAGTGTTAGTTTGGAGATTATGCTTGGTGACTTTTCATTTGGCTTCAAAATTCATCCTTCCAGAGCATGTCCTGCTTTGAGTAACCAAACTATCTGCCTGCTTTTTCACATTAAACATCTTTACTACTCACGTATTTTCAGGCCATTTCTAACTATAGTATTCTCTGTATTTTGGAATAGTTAGCATCACTTTCATTTGTTTTCAAGTGTCTGTATTCTTTCCTTTTAATAGGTATGGCTAGCCATCCTCCAATACCTATCTTGGAACTTGCAGATCACATTGAAAGGTTGAAAGCAAATGACAACTTGAAGTTTTCCCAGGAATATGAGGTAATTCAGTGTGTTTATACTTGACAGTATTTTCAAGAATTGTCCCCCTCTTCTTTCTGATCATATCCATCAGTTCTTTTTCCTTTAAATATGACTCAGCATCTGATACAAAAGTTTACAACAAATAGCCAACTTAAAAGTATCTGTATAATTAATGGAATAGTTGTACTTTTAAAGGTATCTAATTTTTTACAGTTGTTTGGTGTTATTTAATGAGGTTGGTTTATCTTTCCTGATTTCAAGTTAATATACTAAATGTGTAAGCTTCCCAGTATACCATATGAGTGCCAGATACACTAAATTATGGTAAGAAAGCTCAAGCCGATTTCCCAGTGCTCTTGGTCAGTTTACATGACCTCAAAACTATAATTATTAAGTACATGCACATGATTTTACCCATTTGGTATAAAATAATATTTGAGCTAATATTAAGATAGTAATATGTTCCCAGACTGTTGGGTGTTTCTGAAGCAGTGGTGAACTTAACAGTATCTTATATTTTCAGAATCCTTAAAGGTTTTGTGTTAATCCTTGATGAAAATGAATAAAAAATTGTTCATGTGTAGGTATTTAGATATTGTGTCATTTATCAAGCAGAAGATTGTGAAAGTGAGTATTTATCATATTCCTCAGAAACAGGGACCCGTAGTGGAACGAATTCATGGATTATTTATAACTGAATGATTGTTTACCTTTTAGATCAAGTTTAACTTAGCATAAGAGTAAAATGTCCAACTAAAATCTTGTGCCAAATAACAAAACTGAAACTGTTCAAGTTCTACCATAAAGAGTTTCTACTGGTTTACTTAATGGGAATCTTAAATCACATCCTTGATTTCTCTATTATCGGCCTGAAATGAGGCTGATGGACTGGATTACTCTTAGTCCCTACCAACTCCTGCCATATTTGGTTAGAAAAACTCTAAGAAGAGCCCTAACCTCAAGTGGCTAGAGAGTTATCAGCCACGTGAAGAAGCTCCATGTAAAAGAATGTGGAGCAGTGGGGCCTGCGGCAATCTGGACATTTGCATGGATTTTCTAGTCTTTAAACATTCAATTTTTGATTATTTTATTGTGCTTCCTAAGCAAAACATATCTGTAGCCCCATATACATTCAGTCTCAAGAGCTGTAACCTTTTACTCAATTTACATATTCCAACATCTTTGTTGATAGAACACAAAGGAGATTTTGTTTGCTTGCTCATCGGTTAAATTATATTTTCACTTACTCTCTTTCAGGCATTTAGGAGAACATTTCAGTTTTAGGAAACACATTGGATTCTGAATTATTTTCTAAATGGTCTGCTTCTTATTTCTTTCCGATTCTTCCTCTTAGTCATAAAGGCTCTCTTTACATTGTGCAGTATTCTTGAAAATAGTTTCTATAGTTTCTGGTTTGAGGCTTGAGATTGAAAATTGAGTTTTAAAAAGAAAACAAGGCATATGATGAATGCCATTTGGGGCAACATAAAATCACACAGTTAAGTGTTAGCTTTCACTAGCCAGAATTTTTAACACTGCCAACCTGCTCTTTATTGTTATCATGAGTGTTGTTATTGTTATTCTTAGTGTTTTCCTATGTGTGATATTTTCTTCATGGCCCCACTTTAACACATTATGTGTGATTATGAATGATATGATGGGTCACAAAAATACAATTTGATAGCTCAACTTGTTATAAGCCATTAATTAACTTTATACTCTTATACCTTTAAACCACTGACAATATCTGCATTATTCAAGCAGTCTCAGTTGTAATGCATTGACTACAGTAACTTGTCTCCTTTAAATACAGGATTTCTCTAGAAATGCTGCATGTAAAGATACTCTAATGATACTCATTTAGCCATTAGATTAGAAGTGCTCCTTGAAAGTAGTTATGAACTTCATGCTGGCAGCACTCCCATTAAGAACTCCCCGAGTAGCCGTTGACATGATAGCCCACACTGATTTCACCGTTTATCATGACGATGATCTGTGATTAAAGCTCCCTGGGCATGAATTGACTCTACTGTGCCTTAACAGCCATGAAGGGGATATTTAAGTGTTGTGTTCATCTGTGATAATATGATAAAGACTTCTGCATAGTATTTTAGACCAGAGAGCAACACACTGGAAGAAGTGTGTGTGTTGTTTTTTTTTGACATATTATCTCTATATAAACTTGAATAGATTTTTCACTGTTTTTCAGTGAGAAGAGACAAGTCATATTACTTACAAACATAATTATTTTAGCATAATCACTACGGATTAATGTTTACTCAGACCTCTCAAGATGGGTGAAGCTAAATCTGCTACTCTGATTCTAAGTTTAAAACAGGAGTTAAATGCATGAAACCTGTTTACACTGATTCTGAGGTTAGACTAGGAGCAAGTGGGTTTAGATTATAAAGCGATATTATTAGATTATGTGAGAGACTTCCTTTACTATAAAGAAAATTGAAGTCAGATTCGTGACAGTTGGAAGAAGGAACCTGAGGAATTAGTATAACTGCATCTTTAAGGTCTTTAAAATTACTTTAGGCTTTTATTTTCTCCAGTGAGACTGCCAAGTCCTACTAGAATTTAAGTGGAATGTGAGGATAGCATCTAGATTTCAGAGAAATTAAATTTGGTATCACTGTCAAAAGTCAGTACATCAGGCTGGTGAATGTTTCAACTGATTTAGAATAGATGTGTACATCTTGTCAAACAAACTCCTAGCTACTGTTTACATATGGATCATTTGGAAGCCCAATTAAAATCCAAATTGCTTGTCTGAACTTCAAAAATGCTAGTCTAGTAATTCAGCCATGCTAATTACAAATGTTCATTTTATTTCTTTATCTCAAGTTATATTGGGACATAACTGAAACTTAACATTGTTAGTTTATCATACAATGTGATTTGATATATGTGTATATTGCAAAATGATTACCACAATAAATTTAGTTACACTCACTTAACATAACTACAAATATTTTTTCTTGTAATGAGAACTCTGAATATTTATCCTTAACAACTTTCAAATATACATCACATTATTGTTAAATAGCCACCATGTTGTATATTACATCCTCAGGACTTATACAGTTAACCCTTGAACAACATGAACTGCACAAGTCCACTTATACATGGATATTTTTCAATAGCAAAACCCAGTTTAAATTATAGTATTATCTCCTGCATCGTTCAAGAGTCAGTTGTAACCTGGAAGCTTGGCCCTTTTGCCCACTTTGACTCATTTCTTCCATCATCCACCCTATGCCTCTGACAATGACCAATTGTCCTCTGTTTCCGAGGATTTTGTTTTTTATTTTTTTAGATTCCATTTAAGTGAAGTCATACAGTATTTGTCTGTCTGGTTTATTTCCTTTAGCATGATGCCCATGCCCTCAGAGTCCATCAGTGTTGTTGCAAATGGCAGAATCTTATTTAAGACTGAATAATTGTGTGTGTGTGTGTATGTGTGTATATAATACACATATGCCCCTCCAATCTTCATTTCACCATTTCCTCAGATGGCAAATATATCTGTGTATGAGATCAATTTGATATCCATCACAGTCAGCATTATCAATATCATATACATGAATCCTGTTTATATTAGATTGACTGTAAGATTTGATCCCTGGGTGAGGAAGATCCCCTGGAAGTGGAAATGGCAAACCACTCCAGTATTCTTGCCTGGGAAATCCCATGATGGGCTACAATCCAGGGGATCACAAAGAGTCAGACACAACTTAGCGACTGAACAAGAACAAGAAATCAACTGCAGCTCCTAGAGTCTGCTTAAAGGAAAATAAAGGGCTCTTTGTTATATTTATTGTATATTATCTATTATACATGTATTATAAATTATATATTTATATAGAAGCAAATGCTATCCATGCAGGTATGTTTCAAAAACTTTTACCTGAAGTAAGATAAATATCATATGATATCACATATATGGAACCTAAAAAATGATAGAGATGAACTTATTTACACAACAGAAACAGACTCACAGACGTAGAAAACTTATGCTTACCAAAAGGGAGGAGGGTCTTAAATTAAGAATTTAGGATTAACAGATACACACTACTTACAAATAAAATAAATACGATTCTACTGTATAGCACAGGGAACTATATTCAGTATCTTGTAATAACCTATTATGGAAAAGAATCTGAAAAAGAATATAGCTAGATATAGATATATAACTGAATCACTGTGCTATACACCAGAAACTAACACAATATTGTAAACCAACTGTACTTCAATAAATTTTAAAAAAAATTAAAAACAGAACTGTTATCTGAAACTGGAAGACTGTAGAGATTTCCAACATCCACTCTGAAACTCTCACCATAGGGGTTTTTCTCTGGGCTGTACTATTCTTTCCCCTGTACATGCCAGCTTCTTCTGTTTCTCCTACCCACATACAGAGAATATATCCTTTGATTATATATTCTTTTACATAGAGAATCCCTAAAGAAAGATTTTTTCTTGTCAAATTCAAAATGCCAGTAAACAAACTGTGAACTTAAATGGACTCACTGGGTTGTGGAGGCACATTTTAGGACATAGCTCCTAATAGCCCATCCCTATATATCTGGTTCCTTCCTTGGATCAAAGAGAAAAAGTTACTTCTGAGCTGGAGGGGGGACCAATAATTATCCACCATAGTGCTGCAGAAAAGCATCATGCTAAGTGCTGAGAGGAATATAAAAGTCACAAGAAACTTCTGTTTCTAGGATGTCGAGTAGGCAATGTTAGCTATATACCTTACTCCCCACCCCACCCCACAAAATACTAATAAGAACATCCAGAAGCTAATCCAAAGTATTAATGCAGTGTTGCTGAGTTTCAGTAAAGGGAGAGTAGTGACGTAAAGAACTGGAAAAGGTACTGACCAAAAGGTGGTACTGATAGTACATTTCATGCAAAGTTGGGCACAATAAAGGACAGAAACAGTAAGGCCCAAAAGAAGCAGAAGAGATTAGAAGAGGAGGCAAGAATACACAGAAGAACTGTACAAA